TTCTATCCTTAAAATCGGGCGATGCATCATCTAGTGTAAGACGATTTTCAACATTATGTAGCTAGTGAGAAATCGCCTTCTTGTAAAAGATGAGATACAGTAGTTATCGTTGTGCACCGTGATCATCCGGTCGCCGATGCAGTGTGTGTCACTAGTTTATTGGAATGTACAAAAAAATTCGACAACGTAGCGACGGTTAAAGGATAGAAAATAGCGCTTATATGAAAAAACTAAGTATGCACTGTCAAACATTCCCAGATCGCAGATGTATAAAAAGACGAATATCTATGCACTTCCGTTGTTTTGAAAATAAGTTATATGGCAAGTGCACTTACTGATCTTATTAAATACGCATTCCCTACCCAATTAGAGCATTCTGTCACCTTGGACTTGAATTATGAAGACCACTAGAAAGTTCAATTAAAATTATGAATTTTTCACATCCTTTACAGTTCTGCGACACTAGAGTATCTAACTTTCACAGTGCACACATGGGTTGCACTTACAACGTGCTTGATTTTAAGATAAAAGAAGTATTGAAAAAGAATACAAAGCATTTTTCAAGACTATTAACAACATTCAACACATTAACATTTTACCTTTTAGGCTCAAGTTTGGGGAACATGTCTTTCAAAGTGTAAAATCCGAAAAGACAGATTTCTAACTAGATGCTACCGACCAATCCTATTTTAAGCGTATAGGCACTGAAACAATCGCCAGACCCGGGATTTTTCATTATAAACTACGTATTAGGGATACCCCACACACCTCTTGGAAACCGATGTCGGATCGGGTTGGAATTTACACCAGACATAGAACATCGAAAAAGAAAATCGATGTATTTTTGCCCAGAATTTTCTGACGTGTTCTTCTGGAAAACTCCAGTAATCATTGGCTTACATTACGACCCCTCGAAAAAACGGTCCGATCGAGCTCAAAATTTTACCACAGATACTTCAGACCCTATGCCAGGTTCATTTTTTCTCTTCGAAAAATATGCCTTCCTTCTCGAGATATTCGAAAAATACTGAAAATCCCATATGAAAAACCGGTTTTTCATTTTGAAAATCTTATAATGCAGAAAGTTCAAATCGAAAATGCTTAAAAAAACACGAACCTCAGATAGGGTCTGAAGTATCTGTGGTAAAATTATGAGCTCGATCGGACCATTTTTTCGAGGGATCGTAATGTATGCCAATTGAAGGGACTACAGTAAAACCTCTCTGCTGTGTACACCATTGGGACCGTCAAAAAAGTGTTCACTATGGGAGGTGTTCACTTTAGAGAGGTGACGCATGTTTTACTGCAAAATTAAGAAAAAATTCCAGAATGTCTGCTTGTACACTAGTCCTGAATGAAATAAAAGCTATTCATTCTCTTGTTCATCTTTTTGTTTAAATATCTTTTAGTTGAAAAAATCTTCAAATACAGCACAGGATTTAGTTTAGTTACAGAAATCCGAAACAATAAGCGAGTGAAATGGACTTCATAGATATATATATGTAGTTTAACTTATGCTGTATCCATGGATATGCAAATGAAAATATAATAATAAAATATAGAGGAGAACGAGCGAATAGAAAAATGTACTTTTTTTTGTCCGTGAGAGAGTATGATTAGTCGTGACACGTAAGAGAAAGATGATAGACAGTAGACAGAGATAAAAAAATCATTGCACGAAACAACTGTTCAAGTGTGTTCACATTAGAGAGGTTACAGCAGCTAGAGGGACTGTAAAGAAGTGTTCATGTTCAGAATAGAGAGGTGTTCACATTAGAGAGGTGTTCACTAATAGAGGTTTTACTGTATTGAAAAACGCATAGTGAGAAAAACACATATTGTACACAGGGCTCTGTTTTTTTGGGCATTTGCGGCTATGCTTATATCTCCAAGAAAACTCATCGAAACATTCTAGAAAACATCTCATTTTGAAGAGCACACTTTTTTCTATCATGATGTACATAAGAAAAAAATTTTAATATATAGTTAAGGATAGAAAAATTTACTATTATTAAATTATTTATTTTATTTTTTAACCTAAAAAATTGAGATTTTCTAGGCTTAAAAGTAAAAACTTAAAAACTTCATACTATTTTCAAGGAAGGTGATGGAGAGCTGCGAGTGTTCTCATTTTATAGCCCAGACTTTCCTCTACGTTAGACTATGTTCAGCTCAAAAGGAAAACTTTTCTGCAAAAAAAAGGTGGTAAGGGGTACCATTAAAAACTCATATTCTACTGAAAAACAATTTGTCGTCTAAAAACGTTTCTCGTTTGGGAGCAATTAAATGCGCTTTTATCAAATAGTTTCCTTGTATACTCGTAAGACGTGGACACTTCCACTTTGGGCCTTTTATGACGAGACTTGTACGAACTGTCAAAATGATCTGGATAGTATGCGCACGTCTCTTTTATCTTATTACTTGTTTAACGACATTGGTCTCTCTCTCTCTCTCGCACCACATTTTGCTTTTTTCTCCTTACTTACTCGATCACTATAGATATTTAATGTTAAACAAATTAAACAAGGTATCGAATAATATTGATGTACGATTTGATCATCACTTGGAAACAAATTAACATTCAAATGTTTAATATTCGGTATGTAACTAAATAACTTTTTTAAATCATTTAAATAACATGAGTCAACATCGAGATATTTTAAATTTTTAAATTTATTTATTATCGTTTCTTCTAAACCATCTAATGTATAAGATATTACTCGTTGTAAATGATTATTGTAAAGTTTAATTATTAATGTATTTAATGATAATGATAAACTGGAATCACTACAAAATATTAATGAATACAAACATTTTCGATCTTTACTTACATCAATTTGTTCACTTATAATAGATAAATAACTGACATTCTTTAATTTAGGTATAATAATGGATAACTCGGATAATCTGACTTCAAGCAATGATAATGATTTTAAATTTGAAAATAAACACATAATATCAAACATATTGATGAATAATTGTATTTCACATTGAACAATGAGATTGCTCAGTTTTAAATAATGTAACGGAGATGATGATGATAATAAAATTGTTTTGCATATATAGTCATACTCGGATTTAGTAGTAATACATGATAAATCAATTTTAAACGGAGTAGAATGCTTAATAAGTGATTCAATTCTTGAATTAATATTTACTAATGATCGAAATAAATCTATCGTAGATAGATATTGAAAAATTTCGATTAGAATTTCATTAGGAAAACGTTCATACATAATGTACGAATTTTGTAATGTTTTCTAACGGTCAGTTGTTTTGCTTTCCTCCTGGCTCATCTAGTTATGGATAGTGTACAAGGAAATAAATTTGATCATTATCTTCTTTTTCACTTCATGTTCATTAAATATCAATCGGCCTATATTTTATCCAAAAGATATCTATAAACTGGTTACAACCGTAGAATATGTGAGTGCTGCTGAAAAACAAACCATATAATTGAAACTTGCCTGAAATGACTGAAGAAAAAGAATTCAATACCCTCTTCTTTTAATGTTGTCTCTCATTTTCTACAGCGTTCGTCTGACACTGGCTTCGATACTTTATTCGAAAACATGTTTTTTTCAATTCCTGTTTGTATATTCAGTCAAAAGAAGGAGAAAAAGTTGTTCCAGTCCGCGATATTACAATGATGATTGCGATATATGATCGTTGTTAGGCTTCTGTTCTGTTCACATTTAGTGTGTGGGCGATGACCAGTGAATAAAATGTCTTTTTTTCGTCAAACATATCCTATCTGATGCGAGAAAGAATATATTTTACTTGTGTATACATGATAATTGTACGTGTATGTCGCTATGATTGTTAACCTACATAAGTGTTAGATACAATTTAGAAAGAGTTTAGTTTTTGATTTTCTAAGATTATCTCGTTATGATTTGAATTTTGAACTCTTAGACTATCTTTGTAGGTTACGAAATAGATATGTTTTATACAATCACAGAAAAGTTCGAACACGCCTTGAGCTTAACATAATACTTGAAGTATTAACATTAATATTTTATAGCTTTAATGATTTAATTTTAATTTTACCATTATTACTACGAAAAATGAATCGTTTAAAGACTCTGACAATGGTTTTAATAGATGATCTGAAATCTCATAAACCTCTAGAATGGTTGGAAAATAATACAATTTTACATCCAGATATACACGATTTTTATTGTGAATCATTCGATAGTCATTTAATTATATGGATCAATCGAGAGGGTGAACGAGGCATCTATCTCCAATAACCGGATACATTACAGATAACTTACAGAGTCAATATTGTTTCAATATCCCCTATGAACCATCGTTAAACAATGTATGATCCTCACGATGCATATACCTACGCTATTTTGTCTGTTATTAAAATGAGATATCTTCCAGCTCTACACGACCTTTCTTTGCAAAGTTACAGAATTACAACAGAAGCTCTAAATTAATTTTTTCCTTATTTTTGTAGCTTGGAGTTGACGATGAAGACTTGTCTTGTATATTCTATAACTTTGCAAAGAAAGGTCGCGTAGAGCTGGGAGATGTCTCATTTTAATCAGAAATTTGCAGGCTAGACTCATACCTCATTAAGAAGGGTTTTGGTTATATTTTTAGAGTTTCTGAAGGCTGGTTTTCCAGAAAACCTTCGAAGGGGATGGGAAAGGGCCCTTCGAAGGGCTATGGGAAACCCCCATGGTCATGTTCGGAATCAGTATGATCGATATAACCCACTAGATTTCGATCAGAAAGCGATTTATCAGTTAGGGGTCGTGCCTCATTACTGAATACGTTTAACTCGCTCTCACTATACAGTTAAACCCATCAGCTTTATCTAGCAAAACACTCAGAGATGTCTTCGTTCATTTTTCAGATCTGATACTTGTGTAACTTTCCAGTTTCTACTTCACAGAATCTTCTGTCTGATTTATTAAGTAAATAAAAATAATAAAATAAATAATAATGGAAATAATAAAAATTGACACATGTGAGTTAGCCCTAGAACTACTATTGATTCGGCCAATTCTATTTAAACTAATTTTTGTACTTTTAGCAGCCTAAATAATAGAACGAAAATATGGTTCAGAAAAGATCGATTTTGATTTCTCAAATTACCGGTCGTTAACAGCTTGTTCAAATGTGTTTTTATTAACGGCTGCTCCTCTGTATCTAAGCATGGAAATAAGACCGCCCGTTAGTCAGTTGACGGATCCTATCAAAATATCTGGGGAAGCTTACCTCAAAAAAAACCCGTTTAATGCTTCTTTTGGCGTTAAAATGGGAGTACCAACACGTCGTTCCCCCAAACCAAGTGCCACTTTCAATCCTAGAGTTATTTGAACTTCAGATATTATCTGAAGTATTTCGAACCATCTTCTACTTTTAGTCTAAATGAAAAAATATGATATTTACATTTGAATCTGTGCTTGTTCATCATACGTCATCAGCTAAACGTTGGATCTGTGCTTCAAATTTAAAATCTGTGAACATCTAATATTTCTTGTAATATATTCTGTAGGGAGTCAAAATCGGCATGGAACATACGCTGTTGAAGCTCTAATGAAATTACATCCATTATAGTTCTAAAGGAAAATAATTTTAAATTCACTTAAAATTCATTTCTTCATATCTACAGCTTGTGTGATATAACAGATTCGTGCACTAAAAAATGCTAAACAACATACTTGTACTGGCTACTAAACACATATGAATCTACACGTAGAATGAATATATAAAAATGATGACGTCTTAGATAGAAGGCATGGTCGTATCAGTACAGATTATATAGTCATTTAAACATATACGTAAAGTGAAGAAAGAATTTTTATCCTCTTGCTTTCTTTTGATATCTAGACTACTAGATACTTTTATGATGAAATGTGACAAAAGATCTACTGAAAATAGAGAGGAAAATTATTTCAGACTGCCACACTGAAATAAGCATATGGATTTAGAAACAATCATAATTTACTAAAAGAGAATAGGCGATAAAAAAATAGATTTTTTCGTTCGAAACAGAAGACAGGCAAATCATTTGCTTGTCTAAAATGAATCACTCCATTGTTTTTAAAGAAACTATTTTCTAACTTGAATTGTTTTACTTGTTCATAGCAAACTATGGTGAAAAGAACTGACGGACAATAAGAGCAAAGATGTTTAGGATACAAAACCACATCTGAACAACAGTAACGTAACGAATGCCCTATGACTAATAGCCATTGAAGTACCTAGAATTTTACTGATAGATTTGTAGTTTAGTTTTGTCATAAATTGTATTATATTTGGAGACTAAGAGCAAACACAGACAGCCATTAGACATATAGTTTTTTGATTTTCCAAATAGTATTCCCTATGGTTATAGTTGACTTTTCAAAAAGGACTAATAGTGTCATGACCATTTTTCATTTCACACCTTTTTTCAGGAATCTATAGGTAGTTAGAAATCCCATTAAATTCAGAACAAAACCCATGTAGTGAGATTATTGCTGTTAACATTTAAGCTGAATACAGAAAAGCATCTTGACGATCTGGTGGGACGAAGGACAGAAACTATTATCGATTCTGAATATATGTAATCAGATATGCTGATGACGAATACAAAAAAATTGAAACTAAAATACTAAAAATGCGTTGGAAAACTAGAATTGTTTCCGCATACGGTGCGCCGACAAGGCTTACTTCAGTTTTCGCTATCCGCCGACCTTAGCCTATTTATATTTGCCTGGTTTATATGTAAATTAAAATATTTTTCTTAATATCACTCGGTCAATATTGAATTTTAAATATTTCACTAAGTTAATGTTCAATTGCTTCTGGTAATAAGCAGTTAACATCTTTTGTTTGTTTGCTTTTGATGTTTATACAAACGAAAAATGCAACGGTAAAAGCTCGTTGATGTCGTTAATAAAACTATGGAGTTTATTTAACTAGGCAGTTTTATCGGTTCTATACAACCATGCTGAAAATAACGAAAAAAATTTTGCTCGCTTGTGCATTTCCGACCCCCTATTGAAACT